TCCTTGACAAGGATGAAAAGAAGAATGAAAAGAAAACAAGGGAAGAATCGGGGAGGCTCTGCATTTCCAGCAGGCAGAGTCCTCGTCGATGCCAAAGATCGATGGGCAAGGGAGAAAGACTTCAGCGGTAACCATTGTTGTAGCGCGGCCCAGTTCCCATGCGTCCACCCATCCCAGGGCCAGCACCAGGACCAGGACGAGTTGCGACCGCGTGGTTGGTACAGAGCATACCAACTCGGGAGCCAAACTTGGAACCTCGCAGTGAAACCATGTGCTTTCTGATGTGGGCAGCAACGATTTCGCGATGCTGGGGAGAGGCATTGTTAAGAATCCACTGAATGAGATAGTTGCCGTATTGGTCACTTGCAATGTCAATCAGTGGGATGCGAGTACGGTCACGACGACCTTCACAGACTCGGTCCAGATAACGACCAAGGAATTCTGTACCTCCAATTTTGAGACACTTCTCGACGACCTTCGAAGCGAACTGATCGGTACTGTACTCAGCGGCGTAACGAATAACATGGTCAATAGCTCGACTGCGATCCGGGGGAGCACCGTGTTCACAAATATGCTGGATACACCAGTTGCCAAATTGCCCATGGGCGACGATATCAATGTTGGCAAGGACTTCTTCGATACAAGGGCGCTGTTGGTCCGAGTTAGCTTATAATTTTGACGATCAATGGGTTGACTTACCTTATCCTCTTCGAGGCAGTTTTCAAAAATGTTCTGCACGACAAGACTACCAGTCTCTCCCAGGGCAACCTCATGCCACATGCCCCTCAGAGCGTCATTGACAAATTTCATGATCTGTGGGGGTGACTCTGTCCAACGCAGCTCAAAAAGCTTCTGCCAGACGTGGCAGGCATAACGGTGAATGACCGTCTCAGGGATTCGACGAAGAAGTTCGTGAACCATGATAGCCTTGAAGTTTTCAGGAACAGAGTCAAATGCCTTTTGAACGACGTGACAGCCGAAGGGATCCATAGAAAGATTCAGCGTGTTGCCCCGAATGGCTTCCGCGATGTTGATGACTTGGTCAGGTGTCCCATGCTCAAAGCATCGCTGCACCAAAAAGTTGCCAAAGCGATTGATCATCAATGGATAGGCCTGGGCGACGATTGCGTCGACAATTTCGAACTTCTGGTCAGCGGTTCCGACCTTGAGCTTCTGCTGCAAGAAGATGGAAGCTTGTTGGTCGTTGTTGCAGACTATCTTGTCAACAATATACTTCCAGTTGCAGTTCACGTTACGATCTAAAAGACGGCGATAATTCAGCGGCTCTGTCGGAGCGAGGTAGGTCTGGTCATCGGGCGCCAACACCTGTCTCGGGTTTAGCGTTCTGTGTGAGTACAACGCAGGCAAACCAACCTCATTCTTCCATCCAGAACCAGTGGTAAACTCGGAAGCGTGAGGTGAGAGAGGTGTCCCAGCAGGGTTGGGATACGGTGGATACACACCCATAGGACCCAATCCTTGGGGAGCATTCGACGGTGTGCCAGGTGCAGGACTCCCCATATAGTCGGACTGATTCATGGGACTATTAAATCCTCCTCCGTAGCCAGGTCCGAATGGTTGAGGTGGGTTGAAACGGCCCTCGAAGCGGTTTCCTCGACGCCCGTAGTTCGATCGCATCATCTCCGTATCTTGGGTCAGGCGTTCACTTCGGTATCCTTCTATCACGGGAAAGGGCGTTCCGGTAGGTTCAGAACAAGGTTGGCTGAAGACACGCCCTCCGAGCCATTTTCCTGGGGTTGGTTCAATGACTGGTGCCTGGACTGTGTTGGCAAAGATTGGCTGGTTGCCCCATATCTCTCGGGTACGATTGAATGTCGAAGCGGACATGGCGTCACTGGTGTCAGAGTGACTGTCGTCGGGAGGGCCCCAGGTATTCTCGCGAGGGGGATAGACTGGACCACGAGTTCCGAAAGGGGGCACTTCGGCTGTGGTTTTCACAACGCGTGTCTCGGCTAGTTCCTGATCAAGCTTCGAGATTTCGTTCTGTGCCTGGGCGAGCTGTAACTTCAAACGCATTACCTCTTCGCTCTCGCTACGAGCTTCATCCAAGGTGGCACTTGCAGGGCGTGTGGTAGGAGCTGTGCTTGGGAAAGCATCAGTAGCAGGAGTGACGGGGAGAGAGTTGCTCGAAGATGCATGATCAAATGCTCTGGCATACTGGTTGGTTTCGTCCCTGAGCTTGTTGGCATCGTTTTGCTGATTCAGGGCAGATTGCTGCTCAGAGAGCTTTGCAAGGAGTTTATCCACAGGGTACACCTGATCGGTGGTCGAGCTATCATGGCTGAGTTTCATCTTCTAACACGGTCAGCAACTTGCAAACTAGACATCTCGGACAGACGTTTTGTTTCACCTTTGGAAGGCCTTGGTTCGCCAACTTCGAAGTGGATAGAGCGGCGATGTTCTTCTTTGCAGGAATGCTCTTGCCGGCTTCCTTCTGCGTCCGTAGTTAGTAGGTGGTTACCGAACGTCGGCAAGAAGAGATGCCATCAAGGATGAACCTTATCAAAGAATGTTGATGCGGGAAAAGTCTACTTACCGAGCCCGGGGCAAGTGGCAAGGGATTTGAGTTTTCGGCGTGCACATTGGCAGCGAAGATGGGGACAGTCCGTTCAGGAGAGACCCCAGTAGACCCAGCTGAAGACATGATGTTGCGACAATTGGTCCGAGCCTCGGCGAAGTGGTTTTGGTGATGTAGCAGTCAGATAAGAATTGTAGACGACAGAGTGAGCTGTAGGGAACACACGATGAGATAGTGAACGAGTGTAGATGTCTCAAGTTTGTGGTCCAAGAAGGAGTTGATTGTGAAAGGAAGAGAGTGTAGAGGGGAGAGAGTGAAGAAGAGGAAGAAAAGGAAGAGAGGATGGTGGTGAAGGAAGGGGAGGTTATTCACTGACGCAGATTTTTCCACAGGGCCAAGTAGGAGGGAAGTGCGGATGAAAGAAGCGTAGAAGCGGCAGGTGCCAGCAGCCGACAGTTACAGCCTACCTAAACCACCACTGCTCCTTCCACTTTTATTGCAAGTGTCAGTCGCAGCGGGCACCCGACTGGCAGTGGAAGCAAATGGGGGTATATTATGGAAGACTATACTACTTTACGGTGACATGGCTCCCTGAATTCTCGAATTTGTTCGAGCATACAGGGAAGTCAGTGTTCCGAATCGTGTACCTGTGATTCAGTATCAAGAGACAGATCGATATATGCAGGACAGGCTCGGCAACACATGGCGCACATGCCGACCTAAGCTCTTAGCCTTGGACTCATATCGAAGGTGCTCGGTATTCTAGCCGGAAGTCCTTGCTTCAGTTTGGAGTTAATGTCAATAGGAGCTGAGTGAGGTAAGAGCGAAAGGAATAAACCAGATGTCAGTCCTTGACTGCACGCGACACAAGGTCAGAGAAAAGTCTTATGATCAAGCAGCTGTGGTATCAAAGAGCTCACCAGCAACCTTTGACACAGTTTTTATTCAGCGGAGTTGGTGTGTGTCTGCAAATGCATTTGCTACTTCAGTGCAAATCATGTGTTCTTTAGCCGATGCGTCACTGTTAGGGTATTCAGGAGTCATGCGAAGAGCCTTCGAGTTGTTGGAGTATATCTATCGTAGAACAGCCCAATAGACTGAACATATAGAGGCATAGCACAAAGAGCAGAAATTTCGAAATATGATTGATGTAATGGGTACTGATACAAATGATTATACATACTGTGATGGAAGGCCACTTGAGGATCTATTGGCTCCTACGGCCACTTCCATCCCTCGGCCAGGCTTTATGAGTCGTACAATTAGCGTCTGGATTGGCACATCGGTCGACACTCATGATCCATGGTAAGATGTCTCTTTGCCGCCCGGGCCAACATTGGAAATATCGTCGTCATTATTGTTTGATTTATCGCTTCTTGTGAGTGGGAGCTGCAGGGTGTTAGTACCTAGTTTTTCCCGGTATGCAATCTACATACCTGGAGGTCCCTTCTTCTTCTTGGGTGCACTCTTTCCGCGAAGCTTGAGCCTAGAGATCACGCCGTCAGCACTTGCACATATCCTTGAGGTTCCCAATATCTAGCTTACTCTTCAATATACTCGAAGCGATCCTCCTCACCCTCGTCCCAGGTAGCCAGTGTCGGTCCGAACTCTCGCTTGAGATCCTTGATCGTCGCTGTCTTCCGAGGATAGTAAGCCGCCATGGCCGGTCCTCTTAATCGCTGTCGTAGGACCTTGTTGCCCATGCGTACACCTTCGGGGTTGTATGAGGTGGCGAAGACCTGGCATTGCGCCTACGGAATATCATTAGATGGACCCAGATCATGTCATGGAGAAACTCACCTTTACCAAGTCCAGTATACGCGCTCGTGGGACACTCATCGTGGCGTCTTTGGTATCAATCGTTGCTCTTGTTAGCTTTTTTGAAGCTTGACTTGACGTCCGATGTGAAGTTGAGTAAAACACTTGATTGGTCAGAGCGAAGATTTAGTGGGTCAACCAAAGGAGTGCCTTGAGACCAACCAAAACTCCGATGCATCCACTCCATTGAAGACATGGGGCGCCTGTGACTAGATTTACAAGTTGGGATTCGATCAGATATCAAGTTCTTGTGGAATTTTCTATGGAGTCTCTTATTTCGATTAAAATCCTATTGGTAATACCCATGCAGTGTTTATGAAAATTAAATGTTGTCAATGGCACGAGTGTCAGAAGACTTAACGGCCTTGAGTCAGGGAGCAGAAAATACATTGAGGGGGTAACTTATATAACTGCCTTGGGAAAATAGTATTCGGAAAAGGTCCAAGTGAAACTCATCTCCAATAATGTAGTAGCCCAAAGTTGTCTAGGAATTTTCATCACTTATTATGGTTCAGATATCAAGTTTTCGCCAGCTGAGAACTTTCATAGCTGAATTGTGGGTCTTGTCCCTAAGATTTGATGAAACATCGAAAAGCACAGGACTTGGGTTTTTTATTCGCGTCTCATCATAACAAGAATCAATATGTCTAAAAGGCCGAACCAAGATGATCACAGCGTAGAGAATGAGCCACGCAAGCGCGTGCAACTCGATCCAGAAAAAGTTCCTCTGACTGGCACTATTGCTTCTGTCGCGCCTGGGGTGTCGCGCTGGACTGTGGCAGATATCCCTCCATGCCTACCACCTCTGCCACCGATAAGCCCAGAACTTGAGGAGCAAGTTTTCAGGCATCCTGGGCTAGGATGGCCTAACTATGAGAGGTTGGAGTGGTATGGTGATGCAGCCCTCGAAATGATATCCACAGAGCTTGTCTTTGAAACTTTTGACGACCTACCCACTGGACGAAGTAGTCAACTTCGTGAACAACTGGTCCGCAACCTCACGCTCTCAGATTATTATCGACAATACGGCATGCAGTATAAAACAAAGATTCCCACGGATATGGGCTCAATGGTGGATTTGATTAGTCGAAGCGGGAGAGACAAGGAGACGATCAAGATCCAAGGCGACGTTTTCGAAGCGTACGTTGGAGCAGTCGTCAAATCAGATCCCCACGGCGCCGCGAATGCCGTCGCTTGGCTCAAAGCACTCTGGGCTGGGACAATCAAGGACCAAATCAGGCAAGCAGAGCAGCATCGCAAAAACGCATTGAAAGGCCAGCGATTTCTAGCTCGATCCTCCGCCACTACAGCACCCACGGAGCAGACAGTCACTACACAAGCTAAACCAACCGTGGGGCCCAAGGCGCCATCGTCGAACAAAGAACGCCTTGCTCGATCAATCGTCGTCAGGGGCATCAAACTTCGTTACGAAGACATGCCTTGTAACAAGAAGGATAAGAACCTCAATCTCCCCTTGTTTACTATTGGCGTCTATCTAGATGGGTGGGGAGAGGCCGGGAAGCTGCTAGGTTTTGGGACGGCTCTCGGGAAGAAAGAAGCTGGCGAGAAGGCAGCGAAGTCTGTCTTGGAGAATAAGAAGCAATTGAAGGTCTATGAAGCTAAGAAAGAGGCTTGGATAAAGGAAGCACGGGAAAAGTAGTCAGCTGCTCAGGCATAATGCTAGATAAGAGAATTCTAGAAACATAAAACCGGGGTCACGATGAGATAATAAATACAATACATAGTTCCTCAAATCATAAAATAATTGCCAGTAAATAATAAATAAATCTATAAGTAAAGAAACAGATATATGATAAAAGACGAGAACATTTAAGCTAGAAAATGTCTATCCTCTGATCAGTTGGGACTCAAGCCTAACGAGGAGTTGTTTTATGCTGTTGTGATCATAAAATCAGGCCGAGCTCCAGGCCTTTCCCATGTGAAATGACCCCAGGCCCAGACACATGAGGGTATTGAGGGGAAGCTAGGTACCTAGTTTACCTTACCCCTGGGGAACCCTTTTCTAGTGGAACCGGCCCTGAAAGCACATCCCCCGTGTCCGTGTTGGCGTGCCGTGAAGTGCGCCGAGGTCAAACATTTGCCGATAAACAGGCCTCCGCATGCTCTAGGAACAGATCTATCATCATCATCCAATTGCTTCTGATCGCATTAACTCATCTTAGGTTCAATGACCCTCTTATTTTCTGTCCTAATGGAGTCATAATACACGGTGACTAGACTTCTTTTATTGCCTTCTACGTGTAAACTAATTATTCAATCCTTTATTTCTTTCGGTATACCCGTCACTTCACAATCAATTGCGAGCTTCTTATTCTCCTTTCTATTCGGGACCTTTCTCTCTGTGGGGTTCCGTTATCTCGGCCAACAAGCCGCGGTCCGGACGGCTCCTGGTCCGATAAAGGACCCCAGGTCCAAGGTTGAGCTTAAGCTCGACGCAATCGCCACCACCTCTGTCGGCCGCAATTCGCGAGCCGCGAGCCATCTTTCGTCATAAAGCATAACCGCCAATATGACGGACTCAGTAGGTATGCTGCATTTTCCAATTTGCGCCTCATATGGATGTTGTACCACGGTGGCTGACGTGATGATACAGATCGCGTGTTTGTACACGCTCTCAATACCGTCAAAAAGATACCCAAGACTGGCGCATCGAGGCCACCTCCAACCGATCGACTCCGGCTATATGGACTTTATAAGCAGGCTATGGAGGGTGATGTCGACGGTGTAATGGAACGTCCAACAGCCGCCTCCGGAATGGCTTCCGACGACCTACAGCGCGAGAAGGACAAATGGGATGCATGGAATCTGCAAAAAGGACTAAGCCGAACAGAATCCAAGAGAAGGTACATCGAGGCGCTGATAGATACGATGCATCGATATGCGACCACGCCGTAAGCGCTCCCCTGAAGCCCAGCGCAGGTCACGGTACGATCGGGTTACACTAACACAGTCTCCCAGGGATGCCGAAGAACTTGTGTCAGAACTCGAATTTGTCTGGAATCAGATCAAGAATAACAGCCCAAGCTCATCATTATCGTCGCCGCGAGCGAATCGATCGGCCGGTGCATCCCAACCATACGAAGACGCTGCCCAAGCAAGCGATGCCGAAGGCCCTATGAAGGAGATCAGACCGATGAGCGAGTACGACGAAGCGGAACTCCGGTCCCAGAAGCAACTTGAACTCGAGGACGATGATATCGATGGAACGCAAAATCACGATCGAGTTAGTGGCCGGTGGCAGCGAAAGGTCGAGCGTGCCCTGACAACCATGTCTGCTGAGGTAGCTGCGTTACGAGAACAAATTACAACAGGTCGAGAGTGGCGAGCAAAGAAGGAACGCAGCTTACCAGCTTGGGTGAAATGGTTTGCCTGGGTGGTTGTGAAGCATTTGTTCGCCGACTTTGTCATTCTGACTGTCGTGTTATTATGGCTGAGAAAGCGCAAGGACCGTCGCCTAGAAGATCTGGTGAGGGCAGCTGTCAGGCTTGTTAGGGAATATGTCCGAAATGTGTTGCCTTCTCGAGGGTGATGGTACGGCAGGGTACGATCCGACGACAACACCCCTCGAGGTCACTCAGCCTGGTAACGATAATCAGGCGTAGATCAACAGGGTGCAACACCGTCTCTCACCGCATTAGGTGGTTGCCATGGCTCTGTCGAACTTTCAAGCTAACCTGGCATACATTGGGCCACGAAGGGCAGATAACTCAAGCTGGGGAATCAATAGGTGCCCCCAGTAGACTTTCTGTCGGGCAACTAAATGATTATTGCTTTCGGTGTATGATCACAAGTATTAGGCGTTTTATGGAGTATGGGGTTATCACTGTATTTGTAACAAGAGAAGCGTGGTCATTTTGCATTTTGGAGTATGTATCAGGTAGATATCGGCATAGGTACATGGCATAGGTACATGGCACTTGTTGTAACTATTTCCAAGCCATTTATCAAGATAAATTAAGACTTTGTTTCATGGCGACTGAATATTGTGTAAGCCCAGCTAGCCGCCTTCCCCCCCTCTCGAAAAAAAAAAAAGGAGGCTCAGATCGACAGACAGTTTTTATTACCTACCTATTTTCACCTTCACTTCTGTTAGGTGAGGTTGCCTGCCTGTCATATGCAGGTACAATCACATTACAGCAACCCTCTAATATTCGCCCTCCACCCACCCACTCACCTCCAACAACCTCAACCTCAGTGCAACACCAACTGCACAAACAGCCACAAAGTTTGCCATGTCTCATCCCCCATTCCACCAAAACACTTAAAATAAAAGCCATGGCGCAAGCTCCTCGACCTACCGCAACCGTTAACCCTCTGATGGGGATTTCAGACCCTGAAGGTCATCCCATCATCCCAAGGCTGATGTCATGCGCGCCGGCCATTTTCTGCCCTATCGGCGAGAACGACAAGCTCAAGGATTCTCTCAGCTCTTCCTCGTTCACCAAGCTCGATTGCCTGCAGAAAGAGCTCGATGCTCTGAATACTCACGCAGTCGAAGATCGAGAGAATTTCCTCGCCCTCGTTGTTCGCGAACGTGAACGCATCTTCCAGGAAGGGCGCCGCTTTCAAGCCCTTGAAGAGCTGCAAGGCGGCCAGGTCAACCCAGACGTGCCACTCGGCCTTACATCCCAGGAACTCGGCATCATGGTCGCAAACATGGAGGCTCCAGCAAAGCCAGGTATCCCAAACACGGAGAAGATCCCGAGACCAAATCTCGACGCTTCTAATGCTCGATCATTGCGAGAACGCCAAGCTTACGAGCAGATGCGCAACGTGCTTCATTTTTCGGAGATGGCAGCGCATCGTGAGACTGAGATCAACCATCGCCGAGAGCTCCTCGAGGCAGATATCAAAAAGGAGCAGCTAAGGCAAGACCAGGAGCGTCGAGTCAACTAGAATTCGGCTCGTTCACCTGGACGGCAGCATGCCATACCTCAAAGCATCAAGTATGTCAACGGGGCGTCGCAAGTCAACCACGACAAGGAGATGTACATGTTCCTCGCGAACCCGAATCGCAAGCGAAAGTTGCCATGATGAATCATTTGACGAGGTGCACGTCGTAGTGAAGGAATTAGGTATTCAACTCATCTACCTTCAGCCTCCGTCCGACGTCCTATATGTACAGATGCTACGAACTTCCCTGACGCATAAAAACAAAGCAAATATTTCTATTCTTTTGCAGCCACCGCCTCATACACCGTACTCGACCTGGCCCATGGGCTTATCCTCCTCCATGCCAGGGGCCATAAAGTTTGTCCTAGGGTCACCCGTGGCCTTAGCGGCTGAGCAGCGAGCCATTGTAGGAGAGCTAGGCATCATGTTAATAGGGAAATTTACTAAATTCTGAATCGATTTCACATACCTTCGTGAGATAACATCGGTGAAGTAGAAGTTGTCAATAACCTTCTTGAGAGGTGTTCCGGTGACCTGGGCACCCTTATTCTGGTCGACGAGCTGGACCTTGCTCAGAGCAGGGAGAGCGACGGGCTCGATAACGTCATAAGCAGCCAGAGCAGGGCTGATTTCGACCATACGGTCTCGGACCATGGCAACATCGTCATATGGGAGAGAAGCGCCAAGGAACTCACTGGCAGCTCGGAGAATCTTCCAGTCAGTTCGAGATGCACCGGGGAGGGAGGTAGCAGCTCGTGTCATCTGGACACGGCCTTCAGTGTTTATGTAGGTACCAGCCTTCTCAGTATAGGCAGCACCGGGAAGGACAATGTCAGCAATCTGAGCACCCTTGTCACCGTGGTGACCCTGGTAGACAACAAAAGCGTCCTTAGGGATATCTGCCTCGTTCACCTCATCAGCACCAAGGAGCCACACGAACTTGGGCTTGGTCTGGGCAACCTCAGCAGAGGGAGTAGTGAAGCCAACTTCAAAAGCACCAGCACGAGAAGCCTCACGCTGGAGGACGTTGTAGCCCTGCCACTCCTCAGTTCGGAAGTTAGAAGCATGCTTATCAACGAAAGCACCAATGGTCTCGTAGTATGCCTTGGCATCCGCGTGGTCAGTAACACCAGAGCCAACAATAATCATAGGTCGTTTGGCATTCTTAAGGGTCTCTCCGAAGGAGCCAGAGAGCGCGGACTTGAGAGCAGCGTGGTCGGTACCAAAGTGCTCGAACTCGAATGTGGAGTCCCATGTCTCGCCAACAACACCGATCTCAAGGTCGGATCGGAGCCACTGCTTTCGGATACGAGCATTGAGAACGGCAGCCTCATGCCGAGGGTTGCTGCCAACAATTAGGATTGCATCAGCCTCCTCAATACCCCAGATCTGAGAATTGAAAAGGAAGTTGGATCGGACATCAACACCATGGGCGATGGGTTGGCTCCCGGTAGGGGTATCGAGAGCCAGGTTCTCAGAGCCAAGCTTGTTGGCCATATCCTTGGCGACGACCAGAGACTCGACCTCAGTAAGAGCACCAGCAATGACCTTGAATTCGTTGCCCTGAGGGTTCTTAATCTGATAAGCACGACCAATCTCAGTGAGAGCCTCCTCCCAATCAGCAGGCTCGAAGCGACCCTCACGGCGGACCAGAGGCATGGTCAGTCGCTGAGTCTTGAGGCCGTCACAGGCAAATCGGGTCTTGTCGTTGATCCACTCCTCGTTCACGTCGTCGTTAAGTCGGGGCAGAATTCGCATGACCTCTAAACCACGGGAGTCGACACGGATGTTGGAGCCAAGACCGTCGAGAACGTCAATAGACTCGGTGTGCTTCAACTCCCAAGGACGAGCTCGGAAAGCATAGGGCTTTGACGTAAGAGCACCAACGGGGCAGAGGTCGATAACGTTACCAGACATCTCGGAGTCCAGGTTCTTTTCGAGATAGGTGCCAATCTGAATATCGTTGCCACGGCCAGTGGAACCCATCTCCGGAGCTCCGGCAATATCGTTGGAGAAACGAATACATCGGGTGCAGTGAATACATCGGTTCATCGAAGTCTTGATCAGGGGGCCAATGTTCTTGTCCTCGACGGCTCGCTTGCCGCCAATCTCGTGGAATCGGCCTCGGTCGGCTCCGTAACGCATAGACTGATCTTGAAGATCACACTCACCACCCTGATCACAAACAGGACAATCGAGGGGATGGTTAGCCAGCAAAAACTCCATGACACCCTCTCGGGCCTTGTGGGTCAGAGGGGAGTTAGTCTTGACAACCATTCCGGGCTGTACGGGCCAAGCACAAGAGGCAACGGGCTTCGGGGCCCTCTCAACCTCCACCAGACACATTCGGCAGTTACCAGCAATCATAAGCTTCCTGAAGCATTGTCAGCGATGAATCGATCGTGGGAGGATTCGAGGGTATCGCACTCGTGGTAGCAGTATCTAGAATGAGTTAGCTAGGCTTTTCAAACTTGGCACGAACCATCTTGACATACCGAGGGACTGTTGATCCCGCCTTCTCGCAGGCTTGAATAAGAGCAGAACCAGCTACAATTCCGTCAATAGGCGCCCATAAATACAGCCAAACAACCCATCATACCTTCAATCGAAACCTTCTTTCCATCTAGCAACAAGGTTAGCCTCTATATCGTTGTCAATGGCTCTATGCACAAAGATGCTCACCAATTGTCAGCTCCACCTCGGCCGGGCGCTGGCTTGTCGTCGCGAAGGTTCGCGAGACATTGACCGCCCGCCGGCTCGTCCGCCAAGCCGAACGTGCTAGAGTATTTCGGAGCATCGTGTCGCCTTGACGGAGGGAAGATGAAAAGGGTTGCAGGGTCGCTGGCGGCGAATATATGCTCAGTCGTTGACGTCTTGAAAGGGAACCTGCTGTTCGGGTGATGGATTTAGTGGCGCTAGTCCGCGATTAATTTACGTTAATGCTCATTGGCCAGTGTCGATTTCTTCCTGCCTCAGGCCACAGCACTGGATCCCACCTCATATTTTGCATTTTGCTGCTGGAGCTTTTTGAATTTTTCTTCTCCTACCAAATTAATTGTACACGGGCACATTTTATTGTAGGTGAGCTTGCGCAACAGATCTGCTTCGGTAGAGCTGTTGCTTCAGTCGAGTCTTCCTCTATCTTGTGCTCAAGATCAATATTCACGCCGTTTATGGAAGCATGGAAGAGTAACCAATCTCCATGACCGCTGCCTCTTACCGCCGGTCGTTACATATCACCAACCAAATACTCAGAGTAGTCGTAATTTTTTCATGCATCAAAAAGTGTACGCGTCTCCATTTTGGGCCTATGTAGTCATCTATGAACTGCAGCTGCATTGCATAGCTCGCTCGGTCTTTGGGGGATCATCTGTCCATCGAAGCTCCTCATCTTTATCGCCATTGTACGTCTTTCCATTGAATGTCTCTCCATCCCAGCGATCTTCAAATGGGTTGAGAGACATGTGCATGACGCGGTTAAGCACATCTCGCTCGCCACCCTTCTCGACGCGCTGGATGAGCTCATCAAGGATCCAACCGCGAGGAACGAAGTTGGGGTTCACTCGCTTCATCGCCTCGATTCTGTCACCGTCTGTAGATTCTGAGACGTTCCCTGCCCCGTCCTTCCAATCTTCGATGATACGCTCGCGCCAGCTTTCAAGCCAGATCTCAATACGCGCTCTGGCATCCTCTTCGGAAATAGTTGTTGGGGGGCCTTCTTTGTGGAAGAAGACAGACGCCTTCTCGTTCCGTGCTTCTCTCGTGGCGATATCCTGCAACTTGAGCTTGCTGAGACGACGAAAGAAGTGGTGAAAGTCGAGTTCCAGGGCCTCCAAAGTGTCGAGTGCCTCACTGAAAAGGATATCAAAGTCAGAGTCCTTGTGCGTCTTGAGACCCAGACGAGCAGTCATGAGTCGTTTGTACTCTGCGAGGAACACTGCCTTGTACTCTTCTCCAGCCTGTGTAATAAGCTTCTCGGCCCTTGCCACTACTTCAGACTCTTGCTCTTTGGTAACGCCTTCGTTGACAAAAGCTGCATCGTCAACATTGGCGCCTGCGCCCATGAGTTCACCGATGGCCTCGCCAAAGCGAACGAGGTTCCACCAGATAATGGTGGGTTGGTTTCTGTAACTATAGCGAAGGGTGTAATCATCATGATTGGGTGTATAAGCAGGATCAAAATTGTCCATGAAAGCAAATGGACCAAAATCTATTGAAAGCCCGTAGATCGAGGTGTTGTCCGTGTTCTGTTATAGGTCAGCAGGGGTTCTATTTCGCAGTCATGAGCAACTTACCAAAACACCATTCATAAACCCATACGCTTGCCAGTGGGCCACCACTTTGGCATTGCGCCGTACAATTTCACGATACAACCTCGTAAATCTGTTCTCTTCGGAACCATTTTCTCCTTCGATAGTCTCAGAAGAAACCCCACGCTTGGGATCCAGTGATTTAACAGGCTCTTCAGGGTCTTCAAGTCGACCTGGCAGCTTATCCCAGCCACCAAATACGTCCTCGGCGATGTATGTGGCCAGTTGTCTAATAAGCTTACGGTCTCCTCTAGCTCGAAGGATATCAAAGTTACCAAGACGCAACCACGACTGAGCAAAACGCAGAACGATGGCCCCCGGCTCAATGGTCTCTCGACGAACCTTTGAATCTGGCAGAAGCGTAAGTGATAGCGCTCTAGTGGTGGGGATCTTTAGGGCATTGAGTGCTTCCGAGACAATGAACTCTCTGATACTGGATCGTAGGACCGCCTTTCCATCAGCGAACCGTGAGTAGGGTGTCATGCCAGCACCCTTGAGTTGGAGCTCATAGCGCTCACGAGACGCAGGGTTGGTGGTCTCAAAAAGAGAAATGGCCCTGCCGTCGCCTAGTTGGCCAGCCCATTGTCCGAATTGGAAGCCTCCATAGCACTGGGCCCAGGGATATCCTCCCTCAAGCTTCTCTTCATCCCAGCCATATAACTTGTTCCCAGCTACTAGCTGCCTAAAGTCATCGGTGGACTCTTCACCAGACTTGATTCCCAAATCGCGCAACGCAGCTGGGCTGATGGCCAGGAGCTCCGGATCCTTCTGCTCGGCTGGCCGGACCCACGTGTATACGGCATTGCGAACTTGCCGAGGTGTAATCTGATCTCGAGGAGTTTTGTGGGAGTCGGCAGGCGTTGGGAAGATGGAATCGGCAGGAAGAGATTCGGTCAAATGCCATGACTTGGGAAGATCCGCAAGTGTCGCGCCTTCGTAGCTAGACGCCGGCGATAATGCGCCATTGCCGTTAGAAATATGGGCAGCCATTTGTGCGAGTCTTGGTAGATGTGATGCTGGTGGTGAGCGCGGGACAGCTCTACAGAGGGCGTTGCGACAGAGCATCAACGGCGGGACGTTATGTTTAGGGAAGAGATGGATTCGTAAGGAGCGTGTAAGGATTTGGAATCATCTATGTAGACATTAACGAAGGCGTCATTTCAATGGTTCATAGCGATGTGACGGTGTTTGGCTGACAAAAGTGGCAATTACTGACGGTTATCATCGTCTATCTTGACATCACCTCTAGTTTCCGCTCCGGGGCCTCGGTGCCGCCCTAGGGGAGGAAAGAAAACTCAAGACCTTAACCCTAAGTGATAAAAAGATTTAGGTAACTTTACATAAATTTAGGATATCTTTTGCTGAGTTTATTTTTACACCTCATCTCAAGGTCCGGTGTTTTCTTGCCCCCAAGGCCGCCCCACGATCCAGATCTGGCAGGACTGACTGTTCGGTAGAGCAGGCCCCGGTTATTCGGACGCATGTAAGACGGAACCGGGCCGCCATTCAATTTCATTTACACGATGTAAGAGAGTATGTGGAATCAATATGACTCCGATAAATCAAAGTAGTTTTAAGAGCTGCATTGGCCAACCACTTGATTAGTCTCTTCACGTTGGCGAGCTACCCTGTATCTTCAGCTAGTCGCTGAACATGGTGCAATTAGAACGATATGAACATTGCTCTGGTGTTCATAAGGTATTAGAATCGAAATGAAAGCTGAAAGAGGTCTCAGTTGGTGGCTACCACTCGTAATCAGTCCCTATGGGCTTTGATTATATGAGCGAATAGACCTTGATTCATCATTGACACTGCTTCTCTGAGGAGTTCGGGTCATCCGTATAGAAACGCCCTATCTATCGAACTCCTAACCCCCAGATCGAACTTTTCAAATGGCGTGAAGGAGATGATGTGAGAGACCAAGTCCTCCTTTTCTATAGATAGTCTGTCAGCAAACTTAAAACAACCGAGACGTACTTCAGATATCGGAACCTTCCATCAAAGTTAAGCCCTAAAATTAGGAGCTCATTAAGAGAGATTTTGATCATTATATTGATTGCAACTCGCCCAGCTAAAATAAGTGACTATATCTATCTGACACGAAACGACAAACAGACCACCAAGCCTTCTCCTAGGACCTATCATTCTCATCAAACTTGTTCCTCCAGAACCCACGGAAATGCTTCTTGGCACCGAGTCGAGAGATCTCAGCAACCTCATCCTGGGTCAACTTGAATTTAGGTAGCTTAGCCAAGTATCCCTCAAGTCGCTCAACCTTGTTGCTTGTTGTAAGCGCAATGATGTCTTGGTCAATGACCCATCGAAGACCGACTTCACTTTCTGTCACGCCGTACTTCTCAGCCAACTTTGTGTAGAAAGGGTCGACAGGTCCGCCCCTCGCAGTAACAATAGGAGTAAGGGGCCCGTAAGCAGAAACGGCAATGTTGTGCTTCTTGTGAAAGTCAACAAGATCGCCGTGCTGGAGATACGGATGGTACTCAATTTGGTTGATAGCAGGCTTGATCTTGGCGGTCTTGAGAACAGCCTCAAGGTGCGACTGGAGGAAGTTGGAAACACCAATAGACTTTGCCTTGCCAGATTCCTTGATCTGCTCCAACTCGGCCCAACGCTGCTGCAGGTCCTCATCGGTTTCGGCAAACCAAGGGCCGTGAATCAGGTAGAGATCCACATACTCCAGACCTAGCTTCTGGAGAGAAACATTGAAAGAGTCAATAGCAGACCCCTTCTTCTCAGCGGGGATCTTGGTGGTGACATAGAGCTGCTCCCGAGGAACACCGCCAGCCTTGATGGCTTGCCCAAGCTCCTCTTCGTTGCCATATACTGTAGATTTGTCAGATGTGGCCACGGCGTGATACTTTGTTCTGCTCACCCTCAGCTCCGTCTAGATGGCGATATCCAGTCTTGATAGCCTTGGTGGTGATGTCGACTACATGCTGGTCGAGTCCACTCTGGGGATCTTTCTTATACTGAGCTGTTCCCAGACCGAAAGCTAGCTAATGATTGTGAGTGATGTTCCGTATCGAAGATGATTTGTTCTGTTCAATGTTCTCTCGGAAATAAAGAGGATAAACTTACAACCGGAATTTCATTGCCGTCATTGAGTTTGTAGGTGGGGACATCCTTCGTAGCGACACTGCCCATCTTGGTGGTATTTCTCAATTTTAGTGAGTGAGGAATGTGTTTCAGGTATGAATTAGTCAAATCTTCAGAAGCTCAGAGTCTAGAGCGAGAAGATTGGTATGAAGAAGGGTGATTGCCGCGGAGAGCATGTACATTGCCGCGTTGGTTTAAATAGGTGGTTCCCCTTCCTTGTACCGATACTTGATCTCCTCCCCCACCCCCGGGTTTGATATGGTGACTTGCGGCGGTACAATTCCGTGATTTATGACGATATGTATGAGGATGGGGTAAGGAGGAGGTGAGTTACTAAGTAGTATGTATTGCCGTATTATTAATATGGAGTGGGCTGTAGAATCTACGCAATTGTAACCACCATTATCGTGACCAAACGTCTAAGAGGGTGCTCTAGACTTGCTGGGCATACTCGGTAGTAGATGATAGAGCATTCGAACTTTGTTCTGAAACGCTCTTGAGAGACACATTTTATTTGTTAATAATGCTCCAATTTAAAAACACTCATAAGTTGTTAGATACTTATTGCTGGTATGTATTCTTTATCCTGCCCACCTTGGGACTACGTTTTGCTTTTGAGTTACACTAGGCTAGTTTATGTCACTGTAATGCTGCGTATGCTCAATACAGAAAAGACGGCGGCAATTCGTTACATCAATGGCGACTGAATGTGTACGAAAGGCGTGACCTCATTTGTTCGTGGCCGGTCTTGCAACTTGGTATGCTACCTTAGTAAGGTATGAGTGTGAACTATACGTATATAATAGTGGCTTGCCGATACCGGCCGCGCAACAACCAACAAATGAAATACATATATATAAACTTTGGAGAACACAATGCACAACGCTATACCAGCGAACTGTCATCAGTCATCATTCACAGCTCATCGTCAGATTCAGTGTCACTCCCTGCAGGAGCGGGCACAGGTGTAGCCTTTGCCGACTTCTTTGTCTCGAACGGGAGAGCTCGCGGTGGCGGCGGTCTTTCGCTCTCTCTGGAAGCAGTCTTTCCTCGTGAAACAGCATCTGGCGCTTTGTTCTGCTGAGGGGGTCCTGAGTCAAGCCCATCGTCATCTTCGTCGTCACTATCGCCGGATGCTGTCGCTTCTGTGGTGTTCCCGGGATCCGTATCCACGGCCTCCTGCTTAAGGTCGACGCTCATCGTGTCAACAGCGTCATCGTCGTCTGATTCTTCAAGTCTTCTTGACGCTGGAGCCTTCCTTTTCGACGCCCTTGACTTGCCAGCTTGACGAATAGGCTTCTTTGGTTTCGGTTGCTGAACAGAGGCTTCGACAGCCTGGGAACGCTGAGATTGACCCGCCATGCTAGGATTTGTTGATAATGTGTTTAATACTTGCTGCTGCTCACGAATTCTGAGCTTCTTCTCGTTGAGGAGATCCCTGAACTTCCTTAGCAACGCTGTTTCATCCTCTTCCTTCGCTTTGATTAACTCTTCCAGCTGTAACTGGAGCTGGGCCACAACAGCCTCCGACTCGGAGGATTTTGCCGACAGGATTGCCGCAGTTTGTTTACTTGAGGCAGAGGCCTCGACCGATGCACCACACCAATCGAATAACTCAATGGCCTCATCTGGATCATGATCGAGGGTGATTGAGCCCAGACGTTGCTAAGACGGTTAGTAAAAAAGACCATGTTTTAAAATGGCATCATGGTCTCACAGTGATACCCTGTATGTCCTTTCGAATGGTGATTGAGATAGACTTTTCGCTCTGGACCGTGGCTGTGGCTTGAATATCTGGAAGGGGTACCTGGTGAAACAAGTCTTCGAGAATCTGCTGCCATTCGCTCTCTGAAGCAGGGCAATTCTTCACACGGAGAGACACGACCTTATCATGTTTCACTATCAACAAAGTCAGACTCAGGGATCAAAAAGTTGACCACGTTCGCGCCAGTGCTAGAGATTGCAGACAAGGGTCTCCCAGAGTGCGATACTAGAGGGAGGGTTAACGGAATGACTTACAGGATGCGACGTAAGGTTCCTCTCCTTCAGTACCCACCAGCTTCAAATCAAGTTGCTTTGAACCCTTGGGTGTGACTTGTAAAAGGACAAAGGAAGACTTGTCGTCACTCCGGGGGAACTTGAGGACTCGAGCTTGAGAAGCCATTGGACAAGATAGGTCCCGGTAGAAAGGGTCCAGTGAGACTCGTGTGGCTGTCGAGACCTGGGGTTCAGATTGAGGCCGGTGGAATGATGCCAGATGACGGGGCGCCTCGGGAAGAATCTTTGATGGAGCGTTTTAACTCCCTTGTCAAAGAAGCGAGTGAGACACGGTATACGGGCCGAGGAGATCAGCGTTTGAAAGCTGGCTTGTTTGAGGAATGGGGGCTTTGAATCAAGTATCAAAGCACGTATCCGTTTGGAGCTATATATGCGGTCTTGGCGAGATTCGACCGTCAAGGGAATGTCTGATTAGAGAAGAATTGAGAATGGCAAAAGAGCGATAATATTGACGAGAGTATTATATAGAGAACCTTAACCTGGGTATCGGGTTTGCTCCGTCAGCTTCTTTGTTGTTGTGTAAGCTTGTTTGTTGGCGGTGCTTGGACTATTTCTCTTTGAGCGACCCGTGAAGCTCTGCTTATTTTTCTTAATGTATATAGAAAGGGCTTGGGCATTGCTCAAAAGATCGTCCCACAGGCGGGAAATGATAAGAGAAAGAGAGGAATCCTTTGGCGCTGTTAAAGTTTACGTTTCTCCATGTTATTTAATAAGTTGATTTGGTGTAGGCAGCCGTTCCACTTGGAGCCATTCGCGGAATGCATTCATGTACAATGAAGCGGTTGGCTGCAGGCTGCAACTCATTTTAGGCGAGGCCT